GGGTCCCACTGGACCATGGAGAGTCCACACACCTGGCAGGCAGTAGTCTGCTCTGATACCACTTGTCACCTCCACCCAAGCATTGAATCAAAGCATTCTAGTATTCAAGTGCTAATTATTCATTTCTCTCTATTCTTCTTCTTAAGAGTGCTTGGGGCTGCTAAGTCCAGTGTTGTGAGTGATTAGGCTGATTTAGTGCTAAGAGAGAGCGCTAAAGCCGCACGGGTGACTTGACGAAAGTTAGTCCGTGACACGTCGCTCCACGGAAACGTCACAGCCGCGGCTACATCAGCTAGAATTGACGCGTGGACACGGGACAGCCAAGTCTTCTGCCGTAAGCCATCCGTGCCAAGAATTTATGGTGGGCCCCACTTGTCTCTGGTACTTACTTATAAATAAAATAATATAAATATTAGAAAATGATTTTATTTTTTTATATTTATTTTTAAGTTCGACATTAAAATAATCATTTAACTGTTTTTTGAAAAATATTTAATTTTTAAGCTAAAATTTTAAAACGTTATTTTTTATTCCAAATAAAAAAAACGTTTTAAATAAAAAATAAAGAAATTTTACATATATACCACAAAATTCTCATGTTATTATGGGTGGCAGTTGAAGCTTATTTTAAAAAGAATTGTAAAGCTGTTAAATAATAATTCGATTTTCGAAAAATTGTGATGATTATTACAGTTTTTTTTTTTTTAATTCAAACAGAAACTAAATAATTGTCGTTGTACCTAGCCAGAAGTAGTGGGAAAACTCAAATTTCAGCGTGCTTTTCGAAAAAACTTTTAAAACACAATTTAACTGAATAGATAAAACTGTGATGTGATGTCGTACCTCCACCGCACTGCCGCCTCAAATAAACCCTACATATGTAATATTTAAACTTCAATTTTTACATACACGTGATCTTATCTATGCATGAAAATGATATTTCACTTTTTAAAATTAAAAATGATGATATTTTTTTATGAGATTCGAGATAATTGAGTGGATTTAAATCTAAAAAGCAATATTTTGGAGTTAGATATATAAATAGATAGGAATTGGGGGGAATGTATGTTAATGCACCAAAATTCAATTATTTAGTTGGAAATTCAAAATTCAAAAGCTTGGTTGAGATATTGATGTGTTATGTGATTATCGAATTTGGAATTAGATATACAGAAGGTTATACGAGCCTCTAACCATCCCTCATATCACTAATAATTTGAGTACCACCTCCTTAAGATCAACTGTGCTAGAGGAGATTCGAATCTCCGACCTGAAGGGTTGTGGAGACCAATCAATTGGTCGAGTATGCGTCACGGGTTGATTTAGATGTAATTATTTGTTGATTTTGACATCATAATTCAAATATAAATAGCATCAAGTTTTTTATTAAATTCTATGTATTGTTCTATAGTAGAATTCTTTCTATTTTTATAATTAAAAAAATATTGAAATTGAATCGGGTTGACTTTTTAAAATTTTGTTTTGACTTCATAATATAGAATAGATCTTAATAACAATAATTCAAAAGCAAATAAATTAAGAATAATTGTAATACTAATTGTTGGCGAATCTATTCATTTCAGTATCTCCACATTCGCTTGCTCTATCATTAGGTATAATTTCACTAATAAAATAGAATTCAACATTATTAATGTTATTAAGTAGCTCTCACACTGACCTAATCTCCTTCATCTTTTTCTCGGACGGTGGCGGTGACGGTGGCGGTGACGGTGGCGGTGGCGGCAACTGCGTGAGCATAGTGCTTAAATCTACCATGACCCATGATTGGGGTAGAATGGAATCCTCTTATTGTTTGAAAGCATAAGAGTGAACAATAATGCTATATTAGTCTGCATGTATATGATCCTAGCATTTGAAGACTGTCTGATAATTTTGTAGAGTAGATGAACATAAGTGCAAGTAGCATTCCGGAACATAATATTTTGTCAAAGAAAGAAACATTATGTAATTACCAAATTAGAGCCACTCCGGTTTTTACTCTAAATGAACATACATCCTTGTATTGCATGAACATCCCATTCGAAGGAACTTTGTTGTTTGTATGATTATGAATCAGCTTCTCTGACGGTTGTACAAATATATAATGATATTAATATGTTATTGATATACTAAAATTCTTTAAATAACATCAAATATTTTTTAAAAGCTTGATTGATATGTATATTGATTTCTTTTCTACTTTAATATTGTGGTTTATAAGTATGAGTATTCAGTGGTTTATTTAGTTCATTGTTATTTTAAACTAAATTTTTAAGTTAATTAAGAAATTACCGATAAGTGTTATAAGAGATAACACTTATAGAAGACGCAAACGTCCAATAATGAGATAATTTTAAATATATTGCTTTAATTTAATTTAATTAGCGGCTCTTTCATTTATTAAATTGTAGACGAATATAAAAAATTTAATTCTCACTGTCCGATCTTTTATTCCCTTAGTTAATTCCAAGTTGTGACAGTTTTTTTAAAATTTTGGGGTTTAGACAAAGCTAAAATTGTTTGGATCTTTGATAGAACAAATGAAACATCCGAGTAAGCAACAATATATCCCAAATACTCGATCTTTTAACTTGTAAAAACAAAGTTGCTCGTTTCAATATACAACATTTTTGCACGAAGATGTTTCAAAACAATGTGCAAAATTATAAGATGCTTTTAAAATGACTTACGATAGATAAGAAAGTCAATAAACAATATCAAACCCAATGGCATAGAAAATGCTTGAGAATATTATCCATACTTCTCGAAAAATAATGGGTGCTCTTGACAACCCGAATGGTATAACCAAGAATTCAAGGCGGCCTTTATGCGTTTTGTAGGTTGTCTTAACATCTCCTTCAACAATTTGTATTTCATGGTAGCTAGCTTGCAAATACAACTTTGCATAAACAATAACAATAATAATAATGAAAACATCCGAACATTCACCCATTAATGGAATGGGAATTTGTTAGCCACTGAGAGCTAATGTAAAGCTCAATGGTAGATACAAAATCACCATTTGTGATCTTTCTCTATAACCATGAGAATTAGAGAGGAGAAAAGACATGATTCCAGAATCCAGCATGTCGGGAACCAGTTTTTCGCTCAAATTTTCACTAAGACATATGTTCTAGAATCCTGCATGTCCTATTGAAACATTCTTTAGTTTGGAGTTGGGTAGCAATGTGATATGATGATTAACATAATGCTAATGAAAACAACTGTTTTTGTGGTTAGTACTGGAAAAAAATTTGAATTTTTATGCAATCCTGAAGGCTGTTGAATTTTGCTTACTGATAGGATATGAGATTCAGAACAATGGCTGCAAATGTACGTAAGTAGAAAGATGTGGCTTAACACCCTGTAAACAAAAATATTCAATGATCTAATCAAATGCAATGGAAAGATCTCAATGATTCGAAGATATGTTGCCTAAAAGTTCTAGCCATTGAATGTGAGGCACCATATCTGTCCCTTAGATTTGTATAACATAACAAACGCAAACCCTTGCATCATATATGGTAAATATGAAAACTTGTCAAAGCATAGCAAAGAATCATCAATGCCAACATCAAACCAAGTTTCAATTATCAAGGTTAGTATTAAAACTTTAGAAAAATGAATGCGAAAATGTTACCCCACCAGAGCAGCCTCAACTGATAATGAAATGTCGAATTAATTAATCTTACTCGTGCAAACAGAACTTGCACTCATGATTACGGTTGTGCTTTCTCCCCCCATCATGTAGCTATACACAAAAAATCAATAGCCATGAGAACCAAATCATGATCAGAAACCGGTCCTGCCTTCCTCTGGCAACAACTACTCTCTGACATGGACGAAAAGAAGATAGCTTCAAGGGAAGATAGGAGGAGACTCAAACAGAAAACTCTTTACAGCAGTAGCTTTTCGTCAATTTCAGTGAACTCACCTCCACCGTCCCTGTCAAGGAGCACGACGAGGAAGACAATGCGCTGCTGTTTCTATCAAATAGAGTTACGCTGGGTGGTAAATCTGATGTGTTTTGTAGTTTTAAGGAGTAGGCACTTTAAAAAGCAAACTTTAGGGCAAACTTTAGGTGTTAGATACGTAAATTATAAAGAATTATGTGGTAAGTATGTAAATCCCCAAATAAATAAGCTCTACCCTGATCGTTGATTGATGTAATGCTTCCTGAACATGCAAATTTCCATCAATGTAGCTTGACTTACACAAATTTACTCCAAATTTAGGAGTTAATACTCATCAAGTAAATCTAAATAAAAATTTTGTGATTCCTATAAAATAATCCACAAGTCATAATAAACATATGTATGCCATTGAGCAACAAAATACCTGCTGAATACACACACAAAGATGTGGAATGAGACAAAAATCTAAAAAAACTAGCAATAGGGTAATGAGAAATGTTAAAAAGAGTTATATAGTAGACCAAATGACAAATGTCAATAAGATATATAGTGTGAATATGTCAAATAGAGTGAACAACCATATCTTTCATAAGAAACCACCATTTTGACTTGCATATCTTTCATATCACATAAGAAATACCACCATTTTAACTTTTAAAGAGTGAACAACAACTTTTCATGCATGGGTATGTATGTAACCATTGAAGTTTTGGTGTTACATATATAAATATATAGCAATTGGTCCCACATTCCCTGACCTGATTATTGGAATCTCCGATGTCAGCTTTAAGTCCTCTGAGATCGGGGGTTTGAATTCCCCTCTGGTGAAGGTCGCTATATGGAGGGTGGTACTCGAATAGTTAGCACATTAGGAGTGGTTGGGGGCTCGTATAATAGCCTCTGGCCATTTCTTATATATATATAATATATATATATAGCAATTTAGTGGTGTGTATGTAAGTCTTTCTAAAATATAATAATTTTAAGCAAACCATACAATTTACCATTTCATTAAAAAATATTTTAGAATGTGAGATACCTCAAAATTTTTACAACGTGATATGAAATGAATCATTTAGATTGAAAAACGAAATCCGCAGCTACATTTTGCAAACAAATGGGCAAAGATTCATCTTTTTAACATATTCATCCAAGCAGTGACTCACGAGCATAATTATCAGCCAACTAGAGCCTGGAATCACAAAAAAAATTTAATCCTCTCATCAAAGCCAGTAATATAGTTGTTGTGAATGATCACATGCTTCCCTTGAGTTGCCTTGACTCATGTTTCATTTTTGAAGTAGAGACCTCCTGATGGGAAAGCAACCTGAGGGAGAAAATACATATCCACCTGCAAGGATTCATTAAAGGGGGTTGGACCTGGATGGGCTTATCTCAAAATATATGTTCTGCCTTTCTTCCCGGGTTGTGGCAAGCCAAGAGAATGATTCAAAGGCTTCACCTTTTAGTTGCAAAGATTAATAAAAATTAGCACTTTCCTCATCACTGATACGTCACAAGAAAACAAAGAAATGAAGAACATACCACAGCCATATCATCGGTGAAGTAAATGTCATGGTGCCCTTCTAGATAAGGGAAAGGATCGGAAAGCCAAACCATATCCACATCCTTATACATCACATTATAGCCTTGTTCTGAGATATCAAGGTGATGCCTCGGCCTCCGAGATGTGATTTGAAGAAAGCCTACTTAGCAGCACAAGAATGATAAGGAAAGGAAGGAGTTTTAAGATTCTATTTTGGTCTTCTTTCCGCCCAAAAAAGGCCGCAGCTTGAGCTAGGAAAGGTGTGAAGAGGCGAATCCGGGGGATAAAAACGCCGACGAGGAGGAGGCCGGAGCGGCCGAAGAGGTGTAGACATGGGAGAGAGAACTGGCGAGGGGGTTTCCAGATGGTAGACGGATTTACGGAAGTTATAGAAGCTAAAGTGCGCGGAAGAAGAGAGGGAGAGAGAGAGAGAAAGTGGGAGAAAGAGGAGGGTTACCTTCCTCAATGGTTTCTGGTAGGTGCGGACCAGAAGGCGGCGAAAGATGAGAGTTTTGAAGGTCTTTGTAAGCCGCGATACCATGGTTGCCTTCTTCCCCGCTAGATTTAACTGCGACTGTATCGTGAGCGTTCGGTGAAGAAGGCCATGGTTTTGAGCGAAGCCGGGAGAGGAGAGGGAGGGACCTGAGTTTCGATCAGGAGAGGGCGGGGAAGTGGAAACAGAGCAAAGGCGGTGCTGGCACAGGGCAGCTTGAATCTACAATACCCAAGTAAGGCCGGAATGGCTGAGGCCCAACAATTAGCAAAATATAAATTAGAAATGGACATATATGTCCCACAATTCATATGTACTACATATATTAAGTCTTAACACTAGTTTTTATATTTTTATTTCTAGCATTTTAGTGGCATAAATTTTTTTTATTTCACTTCAAAAAAATAAATAGTAATAGCAAAGATTTGAGTGATATAAATGTAAATATGAAAATTTAAGTATTAAATATTTAAATGCATATGACTTGTGTGATATTCATGTAAATATCCTAATATAAAAATACGAGACTTACGTACAAAAAAATTATTACTTGCAAAATTTTTTACATTCTGTTTTGTGAATCACTTCTAAGGAATAAAGTGTATGACAGAAGAGAGAGACACAGAGAGATGCACAATAATGAACAGTAACGAGTCTTATAAAAAGATTTTTTTCTCATAAAATGATTCTTTTATTTATAGAGGAGGAAATACAATATGTGAAGTCACGTGTTTTTCTCTACTTTAACGAGGGTGTTACATGATATTTTTTGTATTTTATATGCATGGGCTTATGATTTGGCTATCCTCTATCACAGTCAATTAAAATTATTGGGTTTTGGTTAAGTAAGATCTTCTCATCCAACTGTGCTGAATTGAGGTTGATGGTCGGCCTTTGATGATCTTCAGGTTCTTAGGACTGACTCGATCGACTTGGCTTCACTAATTGATTATTCTATTTTGACCATCGACGTTGATCTCCAGACGAGGAGCTCAAGTCGATAGAACAAGACTATGCTGCTGGGCACACCATCTTTTTATGTAAAAAATCTTCATTAAATTTTATGTAAAAAAATATTTTTTGTTTAATCTTAAAAATATTTTTTTTGAAAATTTTAATTCATTGAGCATGCCATCTTTTTTAAAATATTATTTAAATCATATATTTTTATATGATATATGATGTGTTAGCATCGTGTCGTACTGTATGTCTCATTTATTCGAATTGTTAGTGTGTCATAATTTCTGACAATTGTTTTCATTATTGATTGTCAAAATAATTAAAAATTGCAAAAGGTCAAAAATAGATGGAGCGATTAATTTTCTAAATAAAAAACACAAGTGACATATAAAACTAAAAATTTGCATAAATCAGTTGAGCCATTTAGTTCCAGTTTTTGAGTAGGATCAAGCCGATTCCGGGCTGAAATAGATCCAAATAACTCGATTTGAATCTAACTCAATTTGATTTTGATATGGAATGTGCTCAATTCAATTTCGAGTCGACTCTGCTTGAAATTAAACATGACGAGCCACGAGTCGATCTCGAGTGACATGAAATCTATTCCAGCAAATTTCAAGCCCAGTGATTTTGAGTCAATTATAGCTCAGCTTGAAAGAGCTCTACCTATAAATTAGAGGTGTGTGTTACCTCCTTTTTTGTGGGTTAACTCTCTTAAGAAAATTGCTATATGATGAACTAAAGAATATCAACATTTATGTACAATAATGTTTATAGATTTACTTATATAGCACTTAAGCATTCATGTTTACATGCATATCATTTATTTTTTTAGTATAACATAAAAATTAATACCATCATTATCTTTTTAAATGTGAAATAAACATTTTCATGAATAGGTTTATAACACAAAATTTGTAAATAAATAAATAATGTTTGATTTAATCAATAAAATTGAAATGTTGGACTTTTATTTGTATGCATAATTTTTTATTAATATAATATTAATAATATAAATTCAAACTGCAATGGACAATAGTTCTAAACATCAAATTAATTATATCTAATTAAAATTATTATAAAAAAAATTTATAATAATTCGGGACTAATCCACTGAACTATTCAGAATTTAGTTGCACATTTGTTGCTAACTAAACTAATTCCTCCTCCCATTTAACCAGGACTCTTCTCTACCGCCCTCACTTCACATTAATCTCTCTTATTCATTAAAATCCATTTTTAAACTCTCTGTGCTTCCTCTCCTCTTCCCAAGTTCCAATTTGAAGTTAATCTTCCTGATTCTTTAACATCCTTTGATAATTCTCCGTTCTTCGTTTCTTTGTGAAGTTGTAATTTTAAAATTAAACCTTTTTTGAGAAATGGGAGAGCAAATTGTTAGAGTCGGTCTCGAATCCATGGGCTACATTTTGAAGAATAAATTACAGATGAAGTGTTTGATCAACCCACTGGAAGAAGAGCGCCGCAAAATCCAAGCGTTCGGAGGAGAGCTTCCTCTATGCATGATTCTCCTCAATGATGGTGCAATCCTAAAATCCTTACTCCTTTAATTTTATCTGCAATCTCTATTAATTCTCTTTATGAAAATTTGTTTGCTTCTTTTTAATTAATTTGTTATTTTTGCTAGTGATTGATCAACTAAAACAAGAATGTGAAGAAAAAGTTGAGCATGAAGACATGGAATGGGAGCACAGTGTGGTCGAGATGGATTGGATAAGTTACGACCAAAATTGGAACACTAACTGTAATGAGCATAATAGCAATTTAATAAACGATTTTTACGAGGTATTTTTATGTAAAAACTAAAAATAATTTCTTTTTTTTTCTTTCATTTCTTTGTTATCTTGTGTATTTGCATTAAAAGTGAGTTTTCACAGATGGAGAATGACAATGATGCGTGTGTAGAATCTCAAAGCAGTAATGAAGATTTTTTGATCACGAATGAAGAAAATAATGTACAGACTTCGTGGCCTGATTCTTCTCTGACGAACTCCGCCCCAACAGACACTACAATGTCGAACGACGATGAAAATCGAATCCGACAGAAAAAGAGAAAAACACGTCGCCGTTGGTCGTCGGAGCTTCACCGACATTTTGTGGCTACATTGCAGGAACTTAGTGGTAAAAATTAATATTTTAATGAATTATGCAGGAAAAGAAAAAAAATTAAATTCTTACTTTTTTTTATTGAATTCAATTGGAATGTGACATAATTATAGCTTATTATATTTTTTCAGCTGCAACTCCAAAACAAATTAGAGAAAGAATGATGGTTCGTGGGCTAAAAAATAATGATGTGAAAATTCATTTACAGGTAAATCCAAAATTTTTCAATCGAATAGTATTTTTCCATTTTTACACCACAAAGAAAAATTTGTAAAAATATAATTTTTATAATGTCTAATTCTCCAAAGTTATCTTCTAATGTTTCAGAAATACAAGTTACATAACAGAAGAATGCAAAATTCTCGTCAGTTTATTTCACTACAGGGAACCCTTCAGCCAGCATAGTACTTATATTTTTACTTCATCTCAGAGAGTCTATCAGCTGACTTGCACTGGACTTTTACTTATCAAACATCTAATGTATATAGTTTATAGTCTTAGCCACCAAATCTATGTTAATTTTTTTTAAGAAATAAAATAATTCTGTTTATGCATAAATAAATAAATTGTTATATATTTAAAAATTGAAGTAAATTAGGTGAAAGATATGTAAATACATAAAGATCGAGTGGTATGTATGTAAATATTCCCTTAAAATATTTGAATAGTATTCACATTTTGAGTGAGGCGATAATAGTCCACGGGAGAAGATCTTATACTATCCTGCATTAATCCCAATGATTGAATCTTTTGAAAAAAATGTAATACGTGAAATTGTTAAAAATGAAAATACAGCATTTCATATTTAAATTCTTAATGCCAAAGAGAAATGAATGTAAATATTAGTCTTTGTAAGTGTTAGATTTGTAAATGCATAAGAACTGTGTGGCGTGCATTTAAATTTTCTGATTAATTTTAAGAAATATTATATTTAAATGCATAAGAACTGTGTAAAGTTGTCTCAAAAGAAACCAGAAAAGAGTTCTCTCTCCTCCCTTCCCTCTGTCTCTCTCTCCCTCTACTGCAAAACCTTTCAATTTCACCAACTTCCCATGGCTAGAGCAGCCGTCGTCTTCATCCTTATTACCCTCATCTTCTTTCTCCCCTTAACAGATGCAGCCCGTCGTCACTGCGCAGCAAAACCCAGCCCCGCTCAGGTGATTCGTAGAAATAAAAAATCTTTTTTTTCTCTTCTTCAACTGTTTCTAAAAAGATATGACTTTTATAAGGGTTTTGAGGGAGAGAAAGTGGATTTGAGCTGCGATGGTGATGGGGAAGAAGAATGTCTGATGAGGAGAACCCTTACGGCTCACATTGATTACATTTACACGCAGGGGAAGGTTCATGGCTGAGCTTGGGGGATTGGCTTATGGTTTCTAGGGTTTCAATCTCTGCGCTGCCTTTGATCATCCATGTTTATATCTCAATAATGATGATAATTGTGATCTGAATTAGATCATCTGTGCTTGTATTGCTGTATGGATTCCTTCCCTGCAGCTTGCGATTTACAGATTTTGATGATTTTAGTCATATTTGAGCTGCGAATTATATTTATTAATAAGGTTTTGATTTTCAGATATAATTTTTCTAAAAAAAACAGTTTTTTTATTATTAATTAAACATTATTTAGAATAATTAATGGGTTTTCATAATTCTTCTTCTTCGCTGCTCGCTTCTTATTCTCGTCGGAATCCTCTGTAAATTCCGCCTCCGGCCGCCGTGGTGACTCCGGCGACCTTCAAGCTAAAGTTGTTGTGTGCATTAATGGCGGTTAGGTGCGCATCTCACTGTTATTTTTACTTACAGAGTTTATTTTATTTAGAAATTACTCTTTTAGGTTACATCATCTACTGTTGGAAACATGCTTTTCAGCTTTGCTCATGGAGTTTATTTATTAATTCATAATAATATTGGTGGTGATCTTGATAGATTATTAAATATTAAAATTGTATTTAGTAATCTTGATTAAGCTTAACAACACATCGTATGACTTTTTTTTTATTAATGGGGATTTACATATATATCACTCAAAACTTTTAATATTACACATTGCACATCTTAACTTACATATTTACATATAAAGTGCCCAAAATATTGTTCTTTGCTCTAAAATAGCACTGGAAGATAAAAATGTTATATAATGTAAAAAATCTTCATTAAATTTTATCTAAAAATATATTTTTTTATTTTTAATCCTAAAAATATTTTTTTGAAAATTTTAATTCCTTAAATTATGACATATGTGCTCAACATGCGTGCTCCACGCATGTCATCTTTTTTTAAAACATTATTTAAATCAAAAATTTTTATATGATATATGATGTGTTAGAACTGTGCCACACTGTACGTCTCCTTTATTAGAATTGTTCGTGTGTCCTAGTTTTTGACAATTATTTTCATTATCGATTATCGAAATAATTAAAAATTACCAAAGTTCAAAAATATATGGAGCAATTACTTTTCTAAATAAAAAAACAAAAGTAACATATAAAACTAAAAATTTGCATAAATCAGTTCTTGAGTTACATCATCATACAAGATAAACAAAGAAACTGGATAAAGCTCTTTTTTGTTGCAAGAAAACGTAGTTGTGGTAATTCAAGCAGAAAACTTCTTTCTTTATTTTACTTCCTCCTTGGGGACAGGTCTAAAAATTTCAGTTTTCTTACAAATTCTCAAATCTCTTTTTTTAATCTTCAATTCTCATGTGCATGTGATTCATTCTGCATACATCATGCATATTTATAATATGCATCTTCGGTTGCTTCTTCGCAATTTCTATTCCTTGATATCCTTCAATAGGCTTCCTTTGGCAATATCCAGATTTGATGTTTCTAAAACCTCCTTCACCACTTTCTCTAATAAATGACTGCTCGGATTCTGTTCAGAAGTTAGCCTCTTTGGTGAGCCGCTTTGTCTATACAACATGGACAAATTCATTCACTTAGGCACGGAGATGATCTCTTGGAATGAGCTCAAGTTGAACCCCAACTTGGTCCTATGCAGATCCTAAGTCGACCAGCTAGCTAGGTTCCAGATTGACTTGACAAGCGAATGAATCTGGTCCTATGGGGATCCTAAGCCATCTCTAGACCATACGGACCAACCCAATGACTTTTTCGAGCCCAATGACTAACTACTAGCCAATTTGAGAATACATTTGGGTTTATATATCACCTCTATTCCCTAGTTCATTCTTTATTGTAAGCATAGCTTATAAATATTCCTTAATAAATTTTCATTTTCTTAAAATATTATTTTATTTTTTATTTATTCTTTTACTTAAAAATGATAATTCATAAATAATGAATTTAAATTGTAAAATGAGAGTTACTGATATATGATTTCACATACGGAATTCTAATTTTTTTAAAAAAAAATATAAGATTCATCTATTAAAATTCACCGTTTTAACGGTTTAATTTTTTATTTTCTTATTGATTAATAACTAATACTAATTTTTAAAAGAAAAAATAAGAAGCATAAGCAATATTAACCACTATATTTCTTTCTCAAATGATTTAAGAAAAAAAGGAAGAAAAAAATTATAAATATTTGAATTGGCAATTATAATAATAAAGCACAATTACTTACAGACCACTGAAATATACGTATTTACAAATTAACCACTCAAGGGATTATTTTATTTGAATTATATAACTAATGTGTTTACAAATGCTAATAATTAACACAACTAATTACAATGTAAACAACTTAAATGATGCATCAGTTAAATATCTGAAAAGCACTTGTTGTCCTCCTTTAAAAACGACTGAATAAACGAATCCATAGAATCTGAAATGAACGGTTCAGAATTAAATGAATCCGTAGAGCTTGAAATCAACGGTTTAGAAATTAAACCTCTGTTGAATTGTCGGGAAGCTAACAGAACATGCAAATCACCATTCTTTCCACTCTTCGCCGGGGATAAGACGATCGAGCTCCTGCGTCTTCTCACTGGTCCGCTTTCGCCGCTGTCTCGCCACCACACTTTGCGCAGACATACAACAACTCCCTCCGCCGCCAACATTTAACTAACGTGCGGTTATAACTGAAGCGCTAAAACAGTTGCAGCTGATAACTAAAAGTTCGGCGGTAAAATAGTGTATGGTTATGTATGTTCTAACGGTTTGTGTATTTATGTATATTTATTTATTTATTTGACAATATGTTGAGAAAAATTTATACTCTTATTAAAATTATTAATTAAAAAAATATAATAAAAGCATATTAAATTATATTTAAGTGATGTATGAATTTCAATAATAAGATTTAAATCTCGCTCCAAACAAACCTGTCGAAAACGAACATATTTTTTTTGTTTGAAATATAAATAAGCCGAACACGAACATTAGTACTTTATTAACGAGATAAGCCTGATCTCGCTCGTGTTTGGCTCGCTTACACCCCTAATTGCAAGGATTAGTTTTGATGAAAAAAATGAAAAAAAAAAAATCTTATTTATTCAAATTTCTGTTGGGATACTAATTAACTAATTAATTATGACTTTAATATTAAATTGGGAAGACCGGTTGATTGATTCTTCATGAGAAGATTCAGCTATCGGAAGAAAAAAAAAACAATTTTTATTACATTTCTAGAAGCTCTTGGTATCTTTATAAATATTTAATATTCCTTGGTAATTATATATCTACCCTAAATACATAAAATATATTGCTACCAAAAATTTTTATAATTAATGTTTTCTTGACTTTTTGAGCATGTAAAAGGTCATATAGAACATTTGCAATTTTGATATTTACAAATTAATTGGAATGATGTTTTCTTTTAATCTAGCGAACTGATGTATATTTACACGTGTCATGATCAAATTATTGAGAATTTGGTAAAAATGAAAAACGAGGATTGCGATTTTGCCATGAATTTTGATATTTGAGTGGGAATTTCAAAAATAGATGAAACAGGATGGTTGATTTGTAAATAATCAGTTTGGGGTGGTCTTTATGTAATTACCCCACTAAATTCCCATAAGCATATTTTATGTTATCAAGAGTAGACCTTCATTATAATTATAATTAAAAAAAAAACTAAATTCGATGAAAAATAAAGTCAAAATAATACATCTAAATAAATTATTTATAAAATTAAAAATTCATGGTCAATTAATACCATGTTGAGCTGACAGGTTGAATGGACATACGTGGACAGATCAATACGTATATTATTATTTAGGAGGAATTTACATAAATACCATATATTTCTTCTATATGTCATTTTATAAGTGAGATGCATAATTTCATCCATATAATTTATGACATCAAGATGTTATACATTTAAACATCAAACTTTGGGTGTTAGCAATGTAAATATGTAGGAATTGGGTGGAATTTATGTAAATTTTTATATTTTAATTTAATTTAAAGCTGTGAATACAACAAATTATTTTTATTAGGTCAATTTTTAGGAAAATTATTTATGTTATAAAAAATGATGTAATTTGGACCTCTTGATATGGAGGAAATATTGTCTGCAGTGCTCTAACACGCGAAAGATGATCCAGATGGACTACCGATCGATACATGGCAGTGTGTCTGTATCGAGACCATCATTCAGATGTGCGATCAGCTACACATAATGTCTTGCTCATGATACAAGAGTCCTTATCATTGTGTGAATGGAAGTCTTCCGGCAACCATAAGGAGCATATGGAAATTAATGCATGACATTTATCATATGTTACATTGAATATATATATATATATATATATGCAACTCCAAAACA